CGTTTGTACTTTTTGCGCACTCCCTCCTAATGCAATAGGCTGTGCACGCCTATGATGATAAGGCAACTTACAGTAGTCTGAAATAAAAATGATGTTAGCATATTATAAAAACTGCTCATGATGGCTAATTTCTTCAAAGTCTGCCAACTGCTGTCAAAAGGTATTTACATGCGATATGTTCCAGACACAGTATAACCCTGCACTGTGGTACTATAATTGGATGTTTAATGAATTTATACCAGTCTTATGCTACTTCCTCATTGTTTCTTCATACAAAATAACACAGGCTGGGGGCTCATTTCTCCTTACACTCAAAGTAGCTGTGTTTTCTCTTGTAGTCTGTTTAATTGCACAGCATGTAAATTACACCATTGTGCACTATTATTTTGATATCTGCAAAGAATCAAAATCCAGCTGGAAATACACATTTTCATTTCCCCCCGTTAAAATGTATTATTTATTGCTGTAATTTCTACTCCTGATCACTATAGGTACCCAGCAGGGTGGAAAAGCACTCATGCTAATACAGAATATATACATATTTAAAGAAACATACAGTTTAATTGGATTATGGCTGTGGTTGGGCTTCCTAATTGGTTGAGCCATTGTTTGCTTTAGTGACATCTTCTTAGTCTGCACTAATCTATAGCTCTATATAATGCTGCATCTCCATTATAATGCCCATATATTGTTATGAATAATAATGGAGTTTATTGTCATAACTAAAGAAGGCAATTGTCCCTTCAAGCAACAAATGCATGTGGCATTGGTCACATTGGGCTTCCAATACGCTGAAAAACCTTTCTGAATAATGAATGTGTCTTCTTTTTTCTCTGTGTCATAAGGAATCATACTTTAAAGTATATTTCCATTATTGCAGACGAATTGGGATAATACCTCATTTTTATTTGTTACATGTTCGCGTTCACATAGCAGAACTTTAAACATTTTTTAAAAATACTCCAAACTCCAAATACTCCAAACTCCAAAACAGAGGGTTTCCTCTTCTTTGT